GCTAGAAAACAAAGCACCGTATGAAACAGCCCCTGTGTCCCCTCACTGGAAATTTGGAAGTTTTCTTGTCTTTGTCCACATACATGTCGCACGGATGGTCAAGGGCGATAAGACACAATCTTTTCAGTATCCATCCAACTTCTAATCTTTAGAAACAGCTAACCAAAATTTTTTCCCATGTGAGATTAACAAGTAAGTACTTCCTAATGGCTGCTTGCCTGGGGGAGGTTCAAGCTAGTTTCCATCATAACTGATGCCTACGGGAAAATTAAATTTTTTTTCAGTTTTTACTGCCTTTTGTATACTAAGTCAACACAGGCGAGGCAAGGACTCCAATGAAACGTGAATCTTTTCTACTGGGATGCGGTTGCATAAAGATCGCCACCTTTTACTGTCTGATTACCTTTTGTGTGTTTTTTACATAGTTTTGTGTGAGGATAGAAAAGAACCCCGGCCTCGGATTCAGCATCAGTGGTGGAATCAGCGGACAAGGAAACCCCTTCAAACCTTCGGACAAGGTAAGAAGTGAATTTCTTAGGGACTATTTTATTTTATTTTTTATTAAATCATAGCTGTGTATATTAATGCAATCATGTGCTGGTTCTGTGTACTATCTGAAATATATTCAGCAAACTTTTTGTGGACAATTTTAATTAGAAAAATACTGTCTTGTACTGAGGTAACAAAGGTTAGAAAAAAATTAAGCCTTTTTAGTGTTTCACGAGCCAACTGTGAGGCCAGTTAGAAACTTTTTAAGCCCAGGGAAAAAAGAGTCCCCTTCAGTAGCACTTGACAGATACTAAGAATAACTTAAGCATTCTGCTTGAAATGCGGGCAAGGGGGTTCTATTTTTGTGGGGCTTTTTTGGGTTTCGGGGAGTATTTTTGCTTCACACTTATATATACATTTGTAGTGAAAACTGTATAGGCAATTTCTAAGAAGTTGTTTCCAAAAATTTTCCTTGTAAATCATTTATTTAGTATTTAGGAAAATGTTTTCTCACGGTAACAGAATAATTTCACAGCAATTCACTGCAAGGGTAAGCTGATATCATCTTTAGCTCAACTCATCAGGCATGTAAAGAATTCCACTAATAGAGTTAGGGAACTGGAAAACCACAGCAAACAAATGTTTTATGAAAAGTTGGAGTTATCATTAGAAAAGAATGAGGTCCCCTCCTTCCCTGTCCCCCCCCCTTGAGTGAAGGCGCCACAGGCCACTCTGACCTCAGCCGCTGGCTGGGCATCGGCACGCTGTCCACCCTCTCGTGTGGCCTAATTCCAGTGCGGACATCTGATGTTTATGTCTTTTAAAAGTTCACTCTGCTCTACAGAATGTGTCCTGCTACCATCAGTGTTTAATACGCTTAGCTTTGAATGGATCCGTAATTATTATTCAATGATAGTTGAAATGACCTGCCTCTGATTGCATTAAATTTAATTGTTAAGTGACATCATAAAACCTTGAGATGATGAAGGAAGACAAAGATTACAAAGATTTATATGAATAAAACCTCAACAGGCTCTTGACTTGCCTTTGAATCATAACCTGATCACCTTCAAAACACCCCTGTCTTACAAATGCACAGGTGAATTTCTGATTATGAGACTTGCTTCTGAAAAACCATGGCTGCCCACACACTGGAAATCCTATCGCCTGAAACAGAGGCTTTGACTTGTATTTTCCTTTACGTCTTCCCAGTCATCTGGTTTTAGACTCTTCCTTCTACTCTTCCTTTCCCTTGTGAAGAAGTAGGGCAGGTGAAGAGGCTTGACCAAAGAGGGGGTCATTCAGGCTAGCTCGGACACGAGGAAGGATGAGCCTGGGGAAGGTCTCCAGTCACTGTAGGTGGAAGCGCCCTCAGTCATCAGGCTGGGGCAGCTCTTCCTGCGTGGTGAGGCAGCCCCATACAATGAGGGAAGGCCGGAGACACATCTGTGTACCAGTAACCACTGCATTTCCATTTGAAGTGATGGTGAGGATACCTCTGACTTATTAGAGTGAAACTGTTCACGTTTCAGTCAGACCAACTGTTT